TGATTTGGAAGAAGAGGAGGATCCGTTCTCCGAGGAAGATTTTCCTGAAGGTTACCAGAAGGATAAGCTTTCTCTTTGGGTTATCATGGAGTGGATCTTTCTGATTCTGATCATAGCCGGTTTGATTTGTAGCCTAGTGATACCTTTCTTGCGCGGCAAGGAACTATGGAACCTAGCTTTATGGAAATGGGGAGTGATGGTTCTTGTCTTGATATGTGGGAGACTTGTGTCTAGTTGGATAGTGAGGATACTCGTGTACTTCGTGGAAAGCAACTTCCTTCTGAGGAAGAAGGTTTTGTATTTTGTCTATGGGATCCGAAAGGCGGTACAGAACTGTCTCTGGCTAGGGCTTGTGTTGATCGCGTGGCATTTCTTGTTCGACAAGAAAGTACAAAGAGAGACTGGTAGCAACGTGCTTAAGTATGTGAACAAAGTTTTGGTCTGCTTACTCGTTGCTATTATCATCTGGCTTATAAAGACCTTACTGGTTAAAGTTCTCGCTTCATCGTTTCATATGAGTACTTACTTTGATCGGATTCAAGAATCTTTGTTTACACAATACGTGATTGAGACTCTCTCTGGACCTCCTCGTGTGATTCATGTAGAAGAGGAGATGGCTGGAGCTAAGATATCTCCTCCGAGTCCAAAAGTGACCATTGGAAGTGGAAGGCTGCAGAAGAGTCCAACGATAATCGGTAAGAGTCAAGTACTTTCGAAGAGTGGTTCCAAGAGAGAAGGAGAGGAAGAAGGGATAAGGATCGATCATTTACAGAGAATGAACACTAAGAACGTGTCTGCTTGGAAAATGAAGAGACTGATGAATGTAATAAGAAAGGGAGCACTTTCTACTTTGGATGAACAGATACAAGATACATCGACGCACAAAGACGACAAAGCCACACAGATAAGAAGTGAAAATGAAGCAAAACAGGCAGCAAGGAAGATTTTTCAGAATGTTGCTCTTCCTGGTTCCAGGTATAACATATCATCATGACCTTATGAACTAACTTTTGAATTAAGTTCAAGACTTAAAACAGAGGATTTTTTTCGGGTTAATAGGTACATATATATCGAAGATTTTATGCGTTTTCTGACAGAAGATGAGTCTGAAAGAGCTATGAATCTCTTTGAAGAAGCTTCTGATGATAACAGAATCAGCAAATCTTGTTTGAAGAATTGGGTGGTAAGTGTTTGTTTTTAAAGAAATGCCCTTAAGTAACAATTTATCAGATTTTTTTATTCAAATCAAAGTATTTAGGGTTTAGTATTTAAAAGGTGGTATCAGAGTTAACTAAGGTAATTTAGTGTGTTTATCATTTTTATGAATTAATAAATGCTATTTTGGAAAAATTTCTCTTTGATAAAAACTTAAAGAAATGTTATTTATGAGATTGCATGCGTTTTTATCTCAAAAAGCGTTCTTTCATACTAGTACAACGATGCTAAACTCTTGTAATAAATTCTCTAGGTTAATGCCTTTAGAGAGCGAAGAGCACTAGCTTTAACCTTAAACGACACAAAAACAGCAGTGAACAGGCTTCACAGAATTGTCGATATTTTGGTCGGCATTGTGATCATAATCATATGGCTTCTCATTCTCGGAATCGCTACATCTAAGTTCTTGCTTGTCATAAGCTCTCAGCTTCTTCTTGTAGTCTTTATCTTTGGAAACTCATGCAAGAACTTGTTTGAAGCTGTCATCTTCGTCTTTGTCAATCATCCATTTGATGTCGGTGACAGGTGTGAAATAGACGGTGTTCAGGTTTGTTTCCTTGACATTCACTCTCTTCATCAATTTTTCAGTAACTTGGTATGCACGTAAGTCACTAATCCTCTGTTTTTGTATGTTGTTGTATAGATGATTGTGGAAGAGATGAACATTTTGACTACTGTGTTTCTTCGATTTGATAATCAGAAGATTGTATACCCAAACAGTCTTCTAGGCAACAAACCTATCGCTAACTATTACCGTAGTCCTGACATGCAAGATATTGTTGATTTCTTCGTCCATATAGCAACTCCAACTGAGAAAATAACCGCCTTGAAACAGAGGATACTCAGGTTAGAAGCTAAACTCTAATCATCTTATATATCTTTGAAAGTCTAGGAGATTTTAGAACATGATTAATCCGGGATTTTTAAAGCGGGGTACTTAGAAACTTTTAACTAAAAACGTTAAGAACCGTTTCTTAAATAACGATTTTAAGAACCGGTTCTTGCTTTTTTTAGTTAAAAGTTAAGAAATAGTTTCTTTATTTCCCTTAAAAATTTCGTTTTAAGAATCTTAGGTTAATCATCATTATCCAGGATTTTTTAGAGCGAAATTCTTAAAGAGTATAAGAAACTGTTTTTTAAAATTAATTCTTAAAATATTATATAAAAAACTATTTCTTAAAATATTACTTTAAAAAACAACTTTTTATATTTAGTTAAGAACTTCATCCTTCAAAAACACGATAATGATGTTCTTAGACCGAAAGCCTGTATATTACCCTAGAGTTAGACCCAAACCATGTTAAACTAACTCTCCTCTAAAAAAAAAGATTATTCTCAACGAAAATCGAACCTATAACCTTTTAAACCCCCTACTAGGTGATGTAAGAGTTATGCCAATTTTTCATTGGGGTAAAACCTCTTATATTTGACAAAAAAAAATCATAGTCTAATAAAAAAATCATATTCTATGGATTTTTGTTTTGTGCAGTTATATAGATAACAAGAAGGATCATTGGTATCCATCACCGAGAATTGCGTTTAGAGAAATGTGTGGACTGAATAGTATGAAAGTAGCGATATGGGCAACTCATAAGATGAATCATCAAAACATGGGAGAGAGATTTGTGAGGAGAGGGCAATTACTTGAAGATATCGGTAAAGCTTGCAGAGAAATAGGTATTGAATATTGGATATATCCTCTTAATATCAACATAAAAAACCTTCCTCCTGCTGCTGCTGCTACCATCACTTCAGACCGCATTCCTCAGAGCTGGAACAACCAACAACGCAGTACTTAAAGATTGGCAGTTTTTGTAGAGTGAGTGAAAGAGAGATTTTGTTGTTATTATTTCTTGATTTTTACTCTCTCTTAATGGTGTTTGAGACCTTGAGGATTATTCTTATTTGTATTATGAAGCCAGGACCTATTTTTGTGTATAATCTTCTGCTTTGAGTGGCTATAACACCTGCTTTCGTTTAATTTCTTCTTGCTTTTGTTATTCTCTCTTTATTTTTTTGGACCTTGAGGATTGTTCATATTTACTAAAATCTGTTTTGAGTGGTTTTTGTCTATCGTTAAACAAAAGCTTACAGTACTTGATTCTTAATAAACTGAGTTGATGATAGCATATTACTATCCCTTAATTTAGCATTTGATTCTACATAACCTTATGAGCGACGTCGTTTTAAATATTCCTTAATTTAGCGACGTCGTTTGGATCTTCTTTTATTATTTCTGGAAAAATTTCAAATCTTCGTTTCTGGCGCCGACATTGAAATCAGCGAGAGAGAGGTAACGATCCTTGGCTAGCCTCATCCCTCGAATTCGTTATCTGCTTCTCCGATTCTCGATTTTGAAATCGTCTTCTGCAGATTCCGTCAGATCGATAATTAGCATCAACACCGTTTGTTCTTCTTCCTCGCTCTCTCTCGAAATCGCAGGTAAGCTTCTTTAGTTTCCTTCTTAGTTTCTTCGAATTCATTCTGTTATTTCGTTTCTAGACCTGTTCACAGAGTGTTAAACCTATTCGTCTCCGTTCTAATAGAACTTTTAGGCATCGAACTGTATCGTTTAAGTCGATCGGTCATCGTTGTGACGAGTAAACCCTAGTTTTACCCCTGCGCCGTCAAAAAAACCTCATAAATCGGCCTCGTAATCTCTATTTTGAGATATCTGTCAGCTCTCTGGAGCCTGTGTGCGGTTTATGTAGATTCTCTAGAGTTTCCTTCCTGAGATTCGTTTCTTATCGTCTTGTTGACGACTAACGATTATCACAGTAACGTAAGTTTTGTGTGCCTTTCCGATTACTATAAACTGCATCCTACTGAAATTGGACAGATCTTATTGCTTAGTTTGTGTATCCAGCAACATGTTTATACAATTTCGTGCTTGCATTTCAAAAATCTGCAGCAGTTAGTATCAAAATCTGTGTTAGTAGTATTACTCTTTGATTGTTGATATCAACGAGTTTAGTTCTTAGTCTATATTTTCTATACGTTTGACTTTGGATTCTCTCTCGAAATCAAAGGAGAATAGAAGTTTTAACTAGAGCATGATCCATCATCCAGTTTGACATGAGATTAATTTGCAGGGTCGTAGCAGCTTGAGATACTTTTATTTGAGGTTGACATGAGATGCAACGCCTGCTGGAGGGAATTGGAAGGCCGAGCCATTTCCACCACATGTGGCCACTTATTATGTATGGAATTCCACACTCCTACTTTTATTTAAGGCTTGTCTTGATGAATGATATAACTTTGAGCTTGATTTGATGACTTTATCATCATGAGAAGGTACTGAAGATGCTAGCAAGATTCTCAGTAATGATGGGGCATGTCCCGTTTGTGATCAAGTACTCTCCAAAAGGTAGAAAGTTCCCTAAGCTAACATGCCTAGCTTGAGCATTATTTCGTTACTTGACAGTTTATCTTTTGTTTTCCATTTTAGTCTAATGAAGCAAGTGGATACCAATCCAAATGATGAATGGGTCAATGTAAGTGGTTGAGCTTTTCTTGCTTTCCAGTTTTGTAACACTCCCATCTTACATCTCTTTCATTTCTTACCTTTGTTATCAGATGGCTATGGCTGGAATTTCTCCACAAATACGTATCCTTTTCGTAAATTATGTTCTTCTGTTGAGCAGTGTCCTCTGTGTTTGAAATCTAAACTCAAATGCGATTACTTTTTCAATCAACTGACTGTTCTTTTGCATTTCTAAGTGTTGGTAAGACAACAGTTCAACGCTCAGGGAACTCCCTTCTGTTTTCCTTAATTGAATCTAGTGATGAAGAGTGCATACCGAAGTGTAATGTTCTACATCTCGCAAAGAGACTTAGAGATGCAGTACAAGATGAATAGAGTTGCTGCACAGTATCGTCAGAAATGTGAGGGTATGCAAGCAAAGTTTAGCGAGAAATTGGAGCAGTTCAATGTAGCATACCAGAAGATGGGCAAGAGGTGTCAGATGATGGAACAAGAGGTAGAAAACCTGACCAAGGATAAACAAGAGCTCCAAGAGAAGTTTTCTGAGAAATCAAGGTCAGTAGTTTAAGATACGTTCAATTTTCTGGTTCTGATCCTTATCTGGAAACTCAACTGTATTAACAAGTTACATTAATTGTGTCTAAACATCAGACAGAAGAGGAAGCTTGATGAGATGTATGACCAGCTAAGAAGTGAGTATGAGTCAGTCAAACGTACATCCATCCAACCAGCAAATAACTTCTATCCACGACACCAGGAACCTGACTTTTTCTCAAACCCTCCAGTTCATATGATGGAGAACAGAGAGCCCACTCGCAAAGGTTACTGTTTTAAGCATTCTCCTGATTCTAAGTCTATTGTTGCATAACTATCTCCAAGTCAAGTTAACTTATTTGGCGCAGACCGGTCGTTTTTCTCTCCTGCGACACCAGGACCTAAAGATGAGATATGGCCAGCAAGACAGAACAGTTCAAACTCGGGTCCATTCGACATCTCCAACGACTCACCTGCAATTCCATCTGATCTTGGAAACAGAAGAGCAGGAGGAGGACATCCTGTATTTGGTGGTGGTGGTGGTGGCAATGCTAATCCCCAGTCTACTCTACGCAACCTTATCCTCTCCCCTATCAAACGCTCTCAGCTCTCTCGTTCCCGCCCTCAACTATTCACGTAAGAAAACTCTAACCCTAAAAAATTACCAAATTCACATCTGGTACTTGAGTTATTTAGAAAAGAAATAACTTCGTGTTTCTTCTCTTCTCAGGCTATAGCTTAAGGATCAAGTTCAAGTGTTTTGAACCTGCCTTGGAGAAAGTTGAAGCCATAATGGTCACAACCAGTGAGCCACTCTTCATTTATAAGCGTACAGTCTTATTAAGTAAGAGAAAAACTCTCGTCTCTATAAATAATAATGATAAATCACATTATAGTAGAATCAATATAATGAAACTACCTACAAGGATGTAAGATGGAGGAGTAAACATAAAAAGACATTTTAGTAAAAAAGAAAAGGCAAAAGAAAAACAGTTATAGGTAAGCAATTGTGGTATCTTCTTTGTAGTTCATTGAGGGCTTAGGTTCTCTTGTTTGGTTCAAAAACGTATTTGATCAGTGCCTCTTTAATAGGTAACATCTCTGGGAACTCCTTGCTTAGTTTAGCCCCATCCATTTCATTGTTGCTTCGAGGAGCAACAATGACCTTTGCTTGTTCTTCCACTGTGAAGTTGGACCATTTAAAACCTGGCTCGATGTAACTCTTGTACATCTCCAGTATCTCGTTGTGACTCACCACCCCTGGGTTGGTGAAGTTCCATATCCCTCTCAGGTTTCTCTTCGCCATCTCGATAGAGATTGGGAGAAGCTCGTCCAGTATGGTCATACTGTTCGGGATGTTCACCACTTTGTTGTAGCGCGAGATCTTCGTGATGAAGTTTCGTGGGTTGTTTAGGTCTGATGAGATGGGCATCCGCACTCTCAAGGTACATACATTGTCAAACTCTCTTAAAAGCTCCTCAACCTGCTCACAAGATTAGCAAAAGAGAAAGCATTAATGAACAAAGACATTTCTAGAGTTAGATAAAGTCTTACCATGGCTTTGGTCTTTGAGTAGAAAGAACCGGTGAAGTTAGGCTTGTCTTCTTCCTTGAAACCTATACCCGAACCCTCAGGATGTGCAGCGTCATACTCAAAGATGCAGCCCGTGGCGAAATTCATCATCAAGAGACCATTCTCTCTGCAAACATCTGCAAGAGTCAAAGTACCAGCGACATTGACACGAATAGTCTCAGGTTTGTGAGATTCACACCAGTCAACGTTAGGCCTCCCAGTTAAACCAGCAGCGTTAAAGACATGAGTAGGTTTGATGCTACGAATATCCGCCACTAGAGAAGCTCTATCCTCCAAACGTCCTTTCCCATACTCATATGTGATCCCTTGCTTCTCGCATAGCTTCCCTAGAAGACCACCGATCCAACCAGTCTTGCCATAGATCAAAAACTTCAACGAGGCTTTGTCTTTAGGATGATCACTAGTAGTCTTGTTGTTAGGTGTAACAACAGTAAATGTCTGCACGGTGTTGTTTGATGCGTCTTTCTTCTCATCAGAAACTCTACCACCAGGCATCATAAGCATCCTTGGGTGAGGAAGCAAAGCTCCAGAGACATCACCCCACCACTCAGGGTTCTGAGTGTACCATTCCATTGTCTTCTTCAATCCATCTTCCCACGCGGTTCTCTCTGACCATCCTAGCTTCTTCAGCTTCTGATCATCAAGGAAGTACCTCTGATCGTTAAAGGGACGATTCTCCACATACTGAATGCTTGATTCAGGATCTTTCCCTAAGAGTTTGCAGATGTCTCTCGCCACATCAATCACTCTTCTTTCTCTCTTTGTTCCAATGTTGTAGACATGACCAACTTCTCCTTTGTGAAGAACAACTTCAAAGGCTTCAGCGACGTCTTCACAGTATAAGTAACTCCTGACATTAGATCCATCACCATGGATCGGAAGCGGCTTCCCACTCATAGCCAACAACATGAACTTAGGAATCATTTTCTCAGGAAACTGGTTAGGACCATAAACATTGTTGCCACGAGTTGTGATAACAGGTAAACCATATGATCTACCATAAGCCATCACCAGCATCTCAGCACCAGCCTTGGTAGCAGAGTATGGATTCGTCGGTAAAAGCTGAGAAGCTTCATGGTTTCCAACAGCAGCATCCTCATCGGTTTCTCCATAAACCTCATCGGTACTCACATGGATAAACCTCTTGATCTGTCCTGTTACTTTACAGGCTTCCAAAAGAACATGAGTACCGTAAATATTGTTCTTGGTGAACTCAAAGCTGTTACCAAAGGAGTTATCAACATGAGTTTGAGCAGCAAAGTGCATGATGGTATCGATGTTTTCAGTGATGAGAAGGTAGTTAACGAGGTCATCACTAGCGATGTCTCCTTTCACAAACTTGAAATTTGCAGAAGAAAAGGAAGGATCGAGATTCTTAAGCTCTGAGCAGTAATCAAGCTTGTCCAAGACAACGATCTTGTAATCCGGGTAGCTACGGATGAGTCTGTTGGCAACGTGGGAAGCAATGAATCCAGCAGCTCCAGTAATGAGAATGTTCTTGGGCTGGTATGCAGTAGCCATTTTGAAATCAAGTACCTGAGAAAAGAAAAACGTGACAGCATTAAATGGAATTTTAAAACGGATCATATGAAAAGAAAGGCAGATCCAGATCCGATCAATTCACTAGCTAGATCTTAAAGAACAATATGATTAAAATTTTCATGTAGGGATCATATGAACAGACAACATCTGAAAACTAGATCATGAATCATCGTATGTCACTAACGTTACATCATTTCGCAAACTTAGCGTAAAGAAAGCGTTATAGAAATATGAGAATAAGAAACAGAGAAGAGAGGAACATTTCACGTACCGACACAACACAATTCAGGTAACCTTAGGAAGAAAGATCCTAAGAGAGATAGAGAGATGAAAAGAAAGAAGGGTCAGTGCAAAGAGAAAGAAGAAGAAGAGGGAATCTACGGTCTACGGAGCTTCTCTGAACACTGGACCTCTTATATTTTGAGACAGTTGCGGAGAACCGTCAGAGTAAATTGACGGTTCTACCCTCACCTGACGTACATATTACGGGCCTCACGTGATCTCAGCGTCCGACATTAAAAGCTGATGTTTTTTTTTCGTTTTTTTTCCCCCACAAAAATAGGAACTTTAATGTCCAAAAAAAAATAGGAACTTTAAAAAATGTTGATAAAAAAAGGAAATTTCGAATTTAATTAAAAAACCGAATGAAACTTGTGTACTTTATTTGTTTTTGCTAACTGACTTTATTTATTACTAAAAAGAACGAAGAAGAAATTATTTTGCATTATTTCTCTTATATATGATAACTAATATGTGAATTGTTTTAATTTAACGAAAAAATAGTTTTTTTTTGGCTAAACCAAGTTGCTTTAGTCTAGTGTTAAAGGAGTTTCAGCTGGAAGTACATGCCCCTGGGTTCAATCCTTGGCTATTGCGGAATTTACATATGGGCTGCGGCATCCGAGATCGAAAACCGTTATAGGTGAGCCACATAATGACACTTTGGCAGTGTCCTTGCTCGCTTCGGTCTCTAATCTGGACCAATTCGGTGGGGTCAAGATACTCGGTTAGCAAAAAAAAAAAAAGTTTCTTTAATTAGAAGTTAAAATTGGGGGATTTAATTAAAATCCTTGATTTGATAATGGTTTAGGGTATAACGTACACAATGTCAGTTTAAAGATCTTAATGCTAGATTGAAAAAAAAAACTCCATGTTCAACATCAGTTATTAAATAACTGAGAATAGACATAACGGACCATTCAATACGGATGCCGAATAATTGATTTCATTCCCTATTTAATTTATAAAATTAAATAAGACGAAAACAGACTTCAATCATTCCATGCTTAATTAACAGAAAAAGGAAGACTAAAAGTCGTTATTAGTAAAATTGAAACCCATATCCCTTTGTCATCTCTTATGCCTATATCCCTTTGTCATCTCTTATGCCTGGGAGTAAAAATTAGAACCGAAAATCTGAAACGGATGTGATTCAAAATAACCCGGTTCGATTCGGATGATAATAGCACGTTGTGTTACTTGTGAATATTGCTTTTGGTTTTGGATGATACCTTTAGTTCTTATCCAAACCCAATACCGAGCCTAGTTTGGTTCTTCAACAATGAGAACCTTTTTAATTTCTTAAAATTGGCTGGTAAATTATAAACTTTTGATTTAATTAGTTTGTCGGCAGCCATTCAGTAAAATGACTAATTATATTGTAAAAAAGATTGATTTATGGAGAAGAAAAACCTAAGGACTAATGACCTTTTCTTGACCCCCACGCTTCTCCGCTTAATGATTATCAACACTATTAGCCAATTAGATTCAACGACTCCAATAACCAAAAGAGATTTCTCTCATTGTTAAGGATCCAACCTCGTAAGATAGATAGTAATGGGACCAATCTTGAAGTTCAAGAAGTATATAATCACAACCATCTTCTCTTCAATGAACTACGCTAATAACAAATTCAAAAACTATGGAGCCAACAAGATAATCGAAACCATCAGACTGATCTAAACCGAATCTTGCTCTTGCGAGTTACACTACATCTGAATGTCTTTTATTACATCATTTCAATCAAATCAGAACCTGCCTGAAACAATACTTTACATAAAAAGCTGGATGATGGAATCACCTGGTTCTGGTTAACGTTCTGTCTCGAATGCTGTTTGTTTGATGAGTCTCTAAGACGCTGCACTGTAACTAACTGTGCCTACGTTCCGGTGTGCTGCTACTGCAACCGCTGCGGCTCCAGCTGGACCAAACTGTGATTGTGCTTGCAACAGATCAATGGCCATATGTGTGTTGCTGTTGCTTGATTGATCTGTCTTGGGGTGCTGTGACTGGAAATAAGGGTTTGGTTGGTTCCTGGAAGCTGAAGGCGGCACGGTGGGAGTGTATTGGTGGATGAACTCTTGCGGTTTTGGCTGAGAAGAAGCTTTATCTGGGTTCATCATTGTGTTTGCTTTGAAGTAGCAGTGAGGAGATGATACAGCGCTTCTGAAATAAGCTTCTTTGAGGTTCCTGCCATTCTCATAAGATGCAGATGGTTCCACAACACGACCTGGTCTACCTATAACACACACACACACAGCGATTAAACCGGTTTCCATGGGTTATATATATAAAGTTTCTAACTTTAGGAGATGATAGTTGGTATTGTGATCAAGGTTTTTACCTGATGGTGGTACTCTTGGTGGAGGTCCTAAAGCTTTAGTTGAAGAAACTGCTCCATTTCTTGAAGGCTGCTCGAAATGAACACGTCTGCTCTCTGTGGCACACAAGTTGGGTTGACTAGTGGAATGGACTACACTTGAGTGAACCGTAGACCTGTGGAGAGAGTACAAGATGTAAGATAATGGATGAAACTCTGCTTATGGTGGAGCTCTACAAAATGCTATAAGTAACAGAAGAAAGAGCAAAAGACACAAAGGTTGGCTAACATGGATGGAAGGAGAAGAAAACATACCGAGGAAGAGAGACATGCTTCCTCTCAGGAGGTATAACCGGCCCATTTCTACTGCTATTCTCCTCTAAGTAATTGAACTGCTTCCTAAGATGTCCTATGGCGCTGCAATGAACAGGTCAAGAAGTTAGCAAAATAGATGAAAAGGCAGAAGAATGTTTCATTTGGCGAATAATAGTCAAAAATACAAACCTAGGATATACAAAACTGGAACCCTCAGAACCGCTCATATAGTCCTTGAGCAACTGAGGATGGTATTCCAATATTTCCCTGTAAATAAGTTCCCTAATGTCATCCTTTGTCAACCTTCTTCTCTCAAATTCAAACTCCATCTTCGAGATTGGCTGACACGATGGTTCTCTTTCAACCTTAGAAAGACCCTTAAAGTAAGGATCAGCCAGTGCCTATCAGAAACCAAAACAAATAAGCAGAGAGGTACACACAAGAAGCAAGGAAAGCTTTTCAATGAGGAAGGAAGAAGAAAGAGACCTCTGCAGCAGTGGGTCTATCCTTTGGATCAAAAGCCAACAGCCTCTGCAAAAGTCTGACTGCTAACGGATCTGCTTTGGAGAATTTTTGAGAGAATGTGACAGGATCTTTCTTCCTCATCTCACTCAAGTATTTTCTAGCTTTATCATTTCGAACCTGTAACAGAGAATACAGAAGTTTTAGCTCTACAACTCAACATGCAAAGTGAATTTTTTAAAGCAGACAAAAAAAAGGTAATGAATCATACTCCAGAGATGGTCTCTGACTTTGGTGTGCCAAGAAGATCAGTAATCAACTCCAACTGATGAGTAACGCTTTTCCCCGGAAACAATGGCTTCCCTGTTAGTACCTCTGCAAATATGCAGCCAATGCTCCAAACGTCAATAGCTGGAGTATACTGCAAAAAGATAGTAATAGTAAATCAGATTAATGACAAAATTAATTAAAAAATATATATATATATATATGAAGTGTTTATTTTGCAGGAGAATGCAGAAGAAACTACTCAATGAACATAATAACCTAGTACAAGGTTACCTGATTCACAGGTTTTTCAACTTCCGGGAAAGTTCAAAGTCATCCCTGAACAAGAACTATTTCAATACTCTTTATCCCACAGGGACAAACACACAACTCTTATACAACTATTCTACACAGACCACCATATCTACTACACCAAGACATAATCATATAGGCAAATCTAGTACCTTAGAAAAGAATGATCCACAGAGCTCAGGCGCTCTGTACCATCTCGTTGCAACATAGTCCTGCATACAAGGTAAAAGTTAAAACCCAGAACATGAGAAAGTTACAAACAGACAAAAAGTGGCTACAAACCGTCCAAAAGACTGTTGTAGGAGTATCATTAAACGCCACTCTAGCCAATCCAAAATCACAAACTTTCAACTTGCAGTTTGCATTCGCCAGTATATTCTTTGGCTTGAGATCACGATGATACACATTAGCTGCACCCAAACAAACAAAGAAGTTCATTACAAGTTACAACCATAAATTAAAAACATGATACCAATCTCCTGTCTGAAAAAAAAAGAATTGAACCTGTGTGCATAAACTTCAAGGCACGAAGCATCTGATAAAGAAAAAACTGATGATGCTCCTTAGTCAAATCATCATTAGCTTTAATAACTTGATGAAGATCAGACTCCATGAGCTCAAACACAACATAAATATCTTTAAACTCTCTTTTAGAAGGAGGAAGCATGATGCTTTTGATCTCCACTATATCAGGATGCCTCAGAAGCCTAAGAAGCTTCACCTCACGGAGCATCCTAAGCGCGTCGGAGACGTGTTCAAAGACGTCGTTGATCTTCTTAATAGCAACTTTCTCCCCCGTGTGTGTGTCGATGGCTGCACAGACAACTCCGTAGCTTCCTTTGCCGATGACTTCGAGGATTCTGTATCGGTTGGAGTCGCCGTATTCTGTGAAAAAGTCCTTCTCTTTTGTCTCCTGCTGGAACGAATCATAAAGTTAGAGAGAGAGATTGTGTTATTAGGACAAAGGAGACAACTTTAGAGAGAGACAGAGAGAGAGAGAGTAACCTTTTTGACTTGGTTTTGTTGCATCTTCCTTCAAAGTTATTAACTTTAATCTTGCCCTGATTGGTTCTGATCAATACGGAGAAACCCACAAACTCAAAACTCACAAAGTGATTAGCGAAAAATACGATCTTTGAATCGCAAAGAGAGAGAATTTACAGAAACCCTAAAAAACTCAGAACCAGAAGATGTTATGATAAGCCGTGAGAGTGAAGAAGACGATAGAGAGAGGGGGGAGAAGAAACAAAACCCTAGATCCAGAGATCGGAGAAGACGAAGAGAGACGAGAGAGATGAATTTTAAATTAAATACTATTGTTCCTCTTTGCGTACGGTTATTTACAAGTCTAAGATGAGTGGCAGTTTCGTTATTAATTATAACATTAAGGGTGAAATGTAAACTTTATTTTGTTTCGGCGACCTTTTTTGAAATATGACTCCATTGGTTAAAAGCCAACTGTTGCTGGATTTTGACCGTTTATTTATTCTCTATCTTAGATTTTGACCCCTATCCGATATTTTGATTTGAATTGTTTCCACTCTTTTTGGCAAGTAGTCGATTTAACCCCACGTGATGCTCTACTAGATTTTCTTTAATTTAAATTGTATCCCTATTCTTATGCCAACACATCATTAATAAATACAAGTATTTTTTTTGGTAGATTATAAAACAATTCCTCCATTCTTTTGAGGAAACAACTATCCATTTGACTTACTTTATATCAACAATTATTTAATTTTAAGATATTGGTTTCCGATTTGGAATTGATTAATAACTATTTTAGATATTATACTGATTCAAAGAAGATGATGATGTACACAACTTTAATATATTAGGATAAAGATACCAACAAACATTCCATGTATAATTCAAACCTACATCAAGAAAACGACCTTCCATATATATATAATCAAGTTGTTCGATTGATATCTGATTTTCTGTCGCTTTGTGTTTTAGTCAATTTCTTATTTTTTTTGTTTTGATAATAATAAGAGTAAGAAAAAATATAAAACGTGTGAAGCTAATTGAATTGATCTTCTTCACATGTCAATTTACACAAATTGGCGTTTGTAATTATTGAAAAGGCCATCTTTTAGTGTCTGGCTCAAATTAAAAGTTTTATCTCATAAAAGGAGGACATTCACTAAAAGGTTAAGGCTAACTATAAAATATCATCTGATCCAAATTTAATATTAGTAAAAATCAACATTATTGTTTTTGCTGTATTTGAGACATTCAAACATAAGTGAGTTGCATAGGTGGTCCATTATATAAAGCATGAAAAAGACAGTTCCATATATATATATATCTATTTATTCAATTTATTAAAATTGAATAGAGACTCAATTCATATATGATGATAACTACATCCTTATATTCTATAAGATGTCTGTTAAATGAATATATCTTATATTTGAAAGCATTTAGAACTAAAAATGATACTTTGTGCTTGTTTTTCATTGTTTCTAATTTTAGGGTGTGAATAGTAACCATGATTTTGATAATATAAATGATATGGAATCAAAATGCAATACAGTCCATATGTGGTTTATGGGATAAGTGCGGATCGGATAAAAAAGATAGTGTGTTTTTGATTAAAAAAATAGTGCAATTTTAATTAAAAAGTTATATGGTTTTGAAAAAAATAAAATAAATAAATATACTAATATATTTAAAATTTAGATTTTTTTTTTAGTGATGATATCATAATAATTTATACAATTTTTGATATTACATTTCATTTGAAACAAAAATTTAAATATGTATATATATAAAGTCAATTTGCTTTTGGTTAAGTTAAGTTTTTTGTACTTTAAATTTTATAAATACATATATATATAGTTTTAAAAATTATAAAATTATAATTATATATATATATACTGTTATTATTTACTAAAAATACTAATGTTATTAATATTATTAGTATTTTATGTTTAAATTATAATATAATAAGCATGATAAATCATTGTTTATGCTCTTACAAATTTTAGAGTGGATATCAAATTATTTATATATGACTAATTTACTCATCAAAATAATTGTCTCTTTATTTTTCAAATACAGCAAAAGCTAGTTTCAGGTAACAACACACTATATATATATAAGTTCTCTTTTTATTTTAAAATACTATTTTTATTTTTGGCTAATTTTAATTATATCAATTTTAAAACTTATCTGATTTCATAAATTTAAATTCATTTTTATTTTTGTCTATTTGTTTATTATATTAATTTATAATAAATAACAAAAAAAATTATTAGATTATTGAGTAAATATATATTAGTGCTATAAAAGGTAGATCAAAGTGATTAAGAAAAGTAAGGATGGTATAAAATTTAGAGATATTGCATCTCATATACACCAATAATCTCAAAATTAGGTATATACCATAGCTATTATTCTTTTTTTTAAAATTTCATTACTACCCCTAATCTTTCTCTCTCCTCTCTTCTTTTCATCGTCGTCCTCCCCTCCTCCTCCTTCGTCTTCCTCTTCCAATCTCCTCCTCCCCTCCTCCTCCTTCGTCTTCCTCTTCCAATCTCCTCCTTCTTCCTCTTCCTCCCCCTCCCCTCCTCCTCCTTCCTCTTCCTCCTCCAATCTCCTCCCCTCTTCCTCTTCTTCCTCCCCGTCCCCTTCCTCCACGTTACCCTCCCCCTCCTCCTCCTACCTCCTCCTCCTCTTCCTCCCCTTCCCCCTCCCCCTCCTCCACGTCACCCTCCCTTCCCCTCCCTCTGGTCCTCCTCCTCCCCGTCTCCGGCCGCGTCCCCCTCCTCTCCCATCCTCCTGCTTTTCTTTCTCCCTCTCCTCATTCTCTTCAATAAATTATTCACTAACAATTTCAATAATTTTTAAATTAAAACATAGAACTGTTGATTTTTGTGAATTAAAACATAGAATTTTGTAGATTTGAGAATTGAAGATTAGCTGAAATAATTGAATTAAAAAGAGGTGAATATGAAGAAAGAGAGTCGACAGATAGAAGAAAGAGAATGAGTATCTGAAACAGAGAGAAGGAGTATTTTGTAATTACACGAGTGAAAAGATATACATTGGGCCCATTAAAAATTCGGTAAGGCATTTGCCTAATTTCCACATTATTATCGTATATTGACCACATTCACTCTAAAATTTATCATTTTGATATATATTTTACTTTTTGAAATTTTAGTTCCAGTTGGACAAATAAGATTTTCGATGTGATTGGGTACAAAACGTAAGTGGCATCAGCTATAGCAGAGAGTGTGGTTACTGGGGCGCGCACACAATCGTACGTTGCGTCTGGAGGTCCCCGGTGGCTTGATCAGTTGATTCAGAAAGAAAGAGGAAGCTGATAATTGCTGATGTTTGTCTTCGTTGGTTTCGCTGTGCTCTGTGACAGCATTTGTTTTCTTGTCCCTCTTCTTCCCCTTGGAGGTCTGTGGTACCTACTGGTATCTGTTCTTTGCTTCCTATCATGTTTTTCTTTTATCTTTGTTGTCACAACTCCATACTTCCTTTTCTTTGGTTTTAAAGTAATGAAATTATTCAGCGTTAAAAAAAAAAAAAAACGTAAGTACATAAATGAGACTGACATAAGATTTTTGTTGTTATTTTTAGACTGCTAATAAAAATCTAACTTTTTTTTTTGATATATTTTGTTTCCTTTCTCACAAATGGTAGTGATATGTTGTAGAAGAAAATAGAAAAAAGAACACACCATTTACCATAAAATAAACTATGAATTAAAAAAAAAATCTTATTGTCAACTATTAACCCGAAACATTATTTAAGAAATTAAGAGCAAATGAAATGAGAGAAAATAAGTTTTAACTTAGGTGCATTATGTAGAATATGGAAGTCTCTAAACACAAATACAATAGCCATAAATTGAAATAACACAATAAAAATGATGCAAAAGATAGCGAACTATGATGGCGACATATAGTTCTTTTGTGATATTCTTATGATACATACATTTATTATAATTTCTTTTGAATTTAAACTTGTTGGTTTGATGGTGGAAATTTCTATTTAAGTTGTATTAATTTATAGATCTAAGTATGAAACTAGTAGTTGAAATTTTAGATAGTAATAATAGAATTATTGATCTGAAAGTCACAATGGGTTCCATTCAATTCTTTCTCTCGTGCGTATATGGAGATCCCGTAAGAGCAAGGAGACGATTTGTGTGGGATAAATTAACGGATATAGGTGTGACAAGAGATGATGCATGGCTTTTGGTTGGGGATTTTAATGAGCTAATGCATAATGGTGAAAAACTGGGAGGTGCTATTAGAGAAGAAAACACTTTCTTTGATTTCCGGAATATGGCTGAAGCTTGTAAAATCAGGGAGATGAGAAGCACCGGTAATATTTTGTCATGGGCCGGTATGAGGGATCACAATTGGGTTCAATGTCGTTTGGATAGGAGTTTTGGCAATGGTGAATGGTTTAGACTCTTTCCACAATCGTCTACTGAATATATGAGTATGTGGCCTTCTGATCATCGACCTCTTCGTATAGAATTGGCATTCGAGCCTGAAAATTTGCATAGAGGACGATTTTACTTCGATAAACGTATGTTTGGTAAAAGAGGGGTAGAGGAGGCCATTAATCGGGGATGGGATGCGGAGAATATTAACTCCAACCTCAGTGTATTAGATCGTATTGCCCGGTGTCGATCGGAATTGTCCAAGCTTAAAAGGACCAATGATTGGAATTCAAAATCAAGAATAGAACGACTACAAATTGATCTGGACAGAGAAAGTTCAAAGCAGTTTCCCATCTATAGTCTGGTACGGAGGTTAAGACAGGAATTGGCTACGGCCTTTAGGGAAGAAGAAATCTTCTGGAGACAAAAAAGTAGAGAAGAATGGTTAAGGGAAGGGGATAGAAATACTACGTATTTTCATAATGTGGTCAAAGGGAAAAAAATGAGAAATAAAATTTTAATGCTTAAAGATATTTTTGGAAATGAAAATTATTCTGAAGGATCAAAGGGTCATATTGCTACTGAATATTTTAGAGATTTGTTTACTAGCTCAAACCCAAG